TTTAATTTAGAAGTAAAAAAAGTAGTTCATTAAAGAGCTAAAAAAGGGAGGAGCAAAACCATCTCTCTTAGTAAACTCAATTTTCAATGGATGAAAAATTGCTTAAGTTGAGTTAACAGAAACAGAAATAAAAATTCCAAAATTGACACCGCACTGTATACCAAATTGTGTCGTATTTTTATTCGTTGGCAATGGTTTTGTATCCAATTAAATTGTTGCAGAATTTGAGAAAACAAACAGACGTAAATGCAAACAACAACGAATGCACAGTTTTTGCTTTCAACTTTTTCCACCTAATAATTCGTTGAACAAATGAACAAAATTTATTTGGTTTAGGTTGAGCATCAATACTAATAGCCTGTTAATCAACATCCTTTTGCAACTTCACAGTCCAAATTAGCTTTAAATCTATTTAATTATTTCATTTCTCGACTAACTATTTCAATATCAATCATTGAAAAGACAATACTCCACAAAAAATTAATTTTCTTTACCATCGAAAGCCAAAATTATTACTCATGAAAAAATAACTCAAAAAGAATATTATCATACAGTTCAATGCGTTTGAACGCTTAATTTTAGCTTATCAACAGTAAAAATTGATGGCAGCATATAAGTAAGACCGACGGCGCCCCGTTGGCAGATGAATTATCGCACACTTACAGAATCATCAAGTTTAAATTCCAGTAGGCCTTCAAACGAATAAAAATTCATGGAATAGGTAGTATATCAGGTACTTACATTTTTATACAATAAATCAGATAACCAGTTTAATATCCATAGAATGGCAGCGATAAATTTTCTTGTTTAAAAGTTGTTCAAAAATATAGACTTGAGAGACAAAAAAGAAAAGTGAGAAAGTGTTGACAGAAACTTTATGCATGAAAGTTTTTTACTTTGTGAGACACTAAACCTCGCATCCTTCCAAAACTTAGAAGTTTATAATTGGCTTTTTCTCATGTAAAAGCCCTAAAGAAGAAAATATACAAATTAAATTATTGCAGTTCATATACAGTTTCCTCCTCCTCATTTCTATGTTCAGCAAGTAATTTGAGCTAAATCAACCTTCACTGCATATATAGACGATTCTGCACCGCTGCATTCGCCTTCTGCCAAATCATTGATGAAAATGTAAAAAGATAATGCTGAAGAAAATCCACAGAGAAAAAAGTGTTAAAAAAACACCGAGACGGCTAAGCGTACTCTGTAAAGGTATAATCAAATGCAGCATATATTAGCTATAAAAGCAGAAATCACCAGCGAAATGTTGGTATTATGCTATACGTAAGATCAACCAAACAAATTTAGGTTTGAAATAGCTTATGGTAGTCTTCCAACAGTAACGATTCATAACTTACCAGCTTCAGTTTTGCACGCGTCAAGAATTTTTTGTATTAGTGTTAGCATTTTGTTTGTAGCTCTAATCCCCAGCGACCCTCTTGCTTATTATAATTCTAGAGTGCATTGGTAGCTTTCTAAGCAGTTTCATTTTTTAAGGTACCTTGTAAAGCGGTTCTATTCAAAAATTCTCAACACCTTTGCATTTTTCTAACCACATCTGTAACAAAGCAAAAAAAAAAAAAAAACGTTTAAAATGTTTAATTTAGCCACAACAACTTCTTCAGAACTACTCCACCTCCATCGATATTAGCGCATCTAGAAAGAAAGAGAGGTCTAACAGGCTTATCGCGTTTAAATAAGTTTGAAGGAACAACTAACTATTGCTTGTCAAAACTAATAGGTTCTACGATAGTGCTGAACCTGCTGTGCGAGCATTAAAGTGTGAAACGGATAAAGGTAAATATACGTCACAAAACGGTTTCAATAAGACAGCATAATAGTTAACCAAAAATGAAAGAAATTCTAGTCTAAACGGTTCCGTTATGAAAAAGAAAGCGAGAAAAAGATTAAAGCTGCGAAAAGAGCTCTCAAAACTTCTCTGGAAAGGAATAAAATTAAAGGAAGCACAACTGTTGAATAGGAACTGCACTTTTTTCCAGCAAAAATTTCTTCCCTTCTTTTCCTTCTTTCCACCTAAATTTCCTGATTTAAACGACAAATTATTGCTTCCTCGTTTCTGAATTTCGTCATGTGCTTCTAAATTAACTTTTTCAAGCAACTTGGCTAACTTTCCTTTCCTGTTTCCTTCCTTTTCTATTCAATTTTAACTTCTGGTACTTACTTCTGGAGTTTCACAAACTCCTTTTTCTTCTTCCTCTTCTCGCAGTAACAACCACAATTCTCGTGCTTTTTCCTTCTCAATTTCTCTTCCATCTTCGTCTAAGGCTGTTTTTTTTT